TACGTATACATTGACTTTGCGCGACTTGGATATATTTATTTGATCATGTACAACTTTACTATTTATTCATGGATTTTGTTCGTTGGTAGCTTAGTTTTTTATAAAGAAACAGGACTTCATATAAAATAAAATAAAATTTTAAAAAATATCTGTTGTTTTAAAATTTTTTCCTTGCCAACACGAAGTAATTAATCAATTACTCAGAAATTATAAGGCCTATGGAAAAATGGAGTAGACAATATTTTTAGGAAATTTCATTCACTTTTATTTTCTATAATTTGCAGTAAGATTGCTTAACTGGTCAGTGAGGTATACATGATTAAATGAAGACACCTTTTTTTTGGTCGAATAACGGTAAATTGCAAATATCTCAAAAACATATCCATAAAAAAAATTTATTCGATTTTCGAAATCAGCGAGCGATTCCACATACAAATTAGATAGTGGCGTTCATGGAACATTTTTGCTGTAAACCAGTGTAATCTTTTATTTAGAATATAGGCGGCAGGTGTAGTATTGATCCGATTTTATACATATGTAAATGATATTTTTGGCATTACTAATATTACTAACAGAAACAAATTCTGAGTTTCATTAGAGTGCCTCAGACACCATCAACAATATATAAGGGAAAGGCAATCGAACTGAAAATCCTGATATTAGTTATATCAGAGGCGGTTTCAAATGGGTGACATTTCCCTACCCCACCAAGGGCCAAATGGTTTATTAATAAAATTTTATTTCTAAAAAGTAACAGAAATATTATCCAGAAATTTGCCATTATATTTCAGAAATAAAACATCTCCCTTGTCACGGTCAACCAATGGCCGAAACTTGCGTTTTGTCAAAGAGTCAAGTGCTGAACACATTGAGCACGACAGACTGCAAGCGACATCTGTCGACCTAAGGAAAGAATGCTTTTCTCATGGACAACTATATGTTGCACTTTCTCGAGTGGGATCTCCTGAAAATCAATATATTTTGTTGCCACCTAATGCCAAACCGTTTTTTAATAAAAAAAAAAAAAAAAAAAACAAAAAAAAATATATAAAACCAAAATAAAAAGCACAAAACCAAACAAAAAATAATAATTTTGTAAGGAAAATACTCAATAGTGGTAGGCAAGTTTCTTTGAAATATCTAGATCTATAAATAGATATATTTTTAGGTGAAAGTTGTTAACGTTTAATTTAGACTGTGTATACATTATTCGACTCTGCTTTTATTCTAGTTACTTAAAAAAACTTAGTAAAAATGTATATAATATCCTATGTAAATATTACTTATTTAAGTGCCCGCCACTTAAACCAACAAAAAAATGGAACATAAATATACTTACATGTAAATATAACTGTGGGATTTTTTTTTCGTACAAATAAAAATATTTGTGAAAAAATGTTGTATATCCAAATTTCCAAAAATAAATAATTGTCTACCCCGTGCGAAGCCGGGACGGGCAGCTAGTTTAATATATCCATTTGCGGAAATCCATTTTCTGCCATTCAATGGAGTACATATGGCAACGCACCTCCCCAAATACATGTAATTTCGCAATTAAATCCATAATTGCTTTACATTTTTGCCGAAAAATACGGGCAGTAATGTCATGACGATCGGTTGTCGACTGTCCTGCAAATAAATTGTTTTTGATGTCATCCCACTGCGGATTACATGTAAATGTAATGAACAGATCCGGTCGACCGTATTTTCTTACATAACACACTGCGTCTTATGCATATTCGTTCATATTCCGTGGGCTACCAATATACGAAGATGGCAATATAGTTAAACGTCCGATGTCATTAATATTAGCATCATTCGCTATCGCATCTTGCAAATGAATATATTGTTCAGATCTTAATTTTGCTTGGTTGAAACGAATAAAATTAAGACGTTCTGTTTCTATTTTGACGTACATATCAACGATGTACTGATGATATAGTTTACGACATCTCAAGATATAATTTTGTTCTTGTGGACGAACCATCAATCGATAAGAATAAAAATTCATGGCACTAACTTTTTTCTGTACGTGTAGACCTTAAAATAAGTGGAAAATGTGACTTAAGAAATTTCTACAAATGATGAAATGTCAACACACCTTTCTGTCGTCACCTTTCCAATGCAATATTGGGTATTGTAATGCGTCGTAACTACGATGAAGTTCCGAAACACGTTGCAATTGGTCATTTCTACGATGAAGTATAATATCACGGGATTGAAACTGATCACCACGAATTACAATTGCAACCTCATCAATTGTCGGTGCATTGAATCGCCTTTCATGCTCTCCAAAAGGTGTTGTATCAGCCCTTATTACGATTTTGTGATGATCAGAGGGCATACGATCGAGAGCAATTTTGAACAATTGAACTAATGCGTTATGCTGATGGAAAAACCTTTGTAGCTCACAAATAATTTCTCGTCTTGTATTCAAAGCAATTGCACAACGTTGATCCAATTCACGATTTTCATCACCAATAAAATAAATTT